TAACAAAATCACCGGCACAGTCAACGCGCCCGTCACCAGACTAGCAATGTAACCTTTCCGATAATTCGGTGCATCCGTCACGGGGTAAAAGATCAGAGGCCACCAAGTCTACATGTACGTTTCATCAGTCAGCGCCAGACGAATGTTAATGGAGAAGAAATGGTAGCCCACTCACCACAAACGCAAAATCAAAAGAGTTCATGAACCCCGTCGTAATTGCCCTCAGCTGCAAATCGTGCGCCGTTAGGTCCGCCATCCACGAGTACCACAGCGCCTGCGGCGCATATGTCGTGCCCATGAGATAAAACGCGAAGAAGTACCCTGCGTCCGGCGGGTCCGAGATCAAGATTGCGCTGCTGACGATGAACGTGAACCCGATGCAGAGCGAGGCCTGCCAGCGCGAGCGAAGCTTATCGGAGACGGCGCAGTAAATGAAGGTCGCGACGATGCCCGTGGCGTAGGTCGCGGTCGGGTAGTTGTTTTGCTGGATTACGGAGTAGCCCCGGGATGCCATCCAAAGGGGTATGACGTTGTTGCCTATTGCTTGGACGCTGAGGGAGTAGACTATGTTCGCACGTCAGTAACATTCCAAAGGCTAAACGGTTGTGAAGACTCACGCATGAAGACGGTTGGGAGGAGCCAGAACTGCCAGCTGAGTAGGACACGTTGGAATACGCTCTTATCCCATGCTTTTGTCTGTGTTCTGCCGAGGCGGGTGACGGCGAGATCCCTCTCTTCTGGGGTCAAGAATCTTGCTGCGCGATGCTCTGGTAGGTCTGGGATAGCGAACCAGCCTTTCAACATGTCAGCTATCAGCCAAATCATGCCATGAGCACATGTAGGAACCCACCAAAGACGGCAAAGGGGATGGTGATGCACGAAACCACTATGAAAATAAGTCGCCAGGGCTCAATCGGGCCGTTAGAAAGAGACGCCAGAAGTCCCGCCTGGATCCAGCCTCCTGCCATGTTGCCGAGGTTGCCAAAGGCGCAGAAGACTGCTGCACGGGTGGCTAGCTCGGATTGCTTGTACCATGATCCGTAGATGAAGTGCGCGCCAACGCTGAGGTGCGGTATTAGCAAGGTAACTTTACGAGGCGCACTGGAAAACTTACTATGCGATTGCTGAAAAGGCGCCTTCGAAGCCATTGAGGACGAAAACTTGGTAGACGTGTGTTGCGCGGAATGTGACGAGGGTGAGGACGCTCCAGACTGTGTTCGCTGCAACGAAGACGTAGCGGGGTTTTACGATGGTGAGGAGTGAAGTTGAGGGAATTTGAAATACGGCGTAGGTGACTAGGTAAATGGTGTGCATGTAGTTGAAGTCCTAGAGTCGGGTCAGTAATTCTATCTTGCATACAAGCTTTTGGAAGTTCCTCTTGTTGAAGTATCTGGCGTCGCTCACCTTTCCTTGGAAATTCAGGTCCTCCTTCATGCCGCTGATATACGCTGTATTGTAGCTCGCGCGATTGACGCCGAACAAGAACCACACGACGGAAAAGTAAATGAGTACGGTGAAATCAAGCTTGATAAGCAGCGATCGCTCAACCGACGGCGGGCCCCAGAGGGCTTCCTTCATCTTTGACACCATCTCAGACACGGGCTGCTCACGTTTTCGATGTGAGAGTGTTGAGCCGTGAAGCAGCGGCGCCGCCTCCCCAGAGGTTGCACCCGGCATTTTGTCTGTTATTTGAAGCGAGCCTGCACGCCAGCCCGCGTACTACCATCCAAGGGTTCCACTGGGGTTCAACGATGTCGTCTTGAAGGGTTGCACATTTCGCCATCCCCAAATATCCCATGAGAGATAAAGAAGGGAAGGTCGTTGGGCTTAACCGAGGTTCGGCCGATGTCTCTAACCGCAACCATGAAGGGTTGATCCTGTCATCAGAGTTACACCCGTTCGGTACTAAGGCTTACAAAGGTCCTCTGGATCAGATGCTGAACCCCGCCTAACCCCACTACCCGCGGATTGCGCGATCTTGTCCGGTTTGATGGACATCTGAATGGGATTAGAGATAAGACCGTCAGCTTCAAAAACCCCTACTTCTTCATGCAACCTGTGCCGGAATAAGGTAGTTCTTGGAAGATCTTCAATTAGTCACTACCTTTCATAAATATCATTGGTACTATTATTTAGACTTGATATCAGTCTATTTGCTTCTCGGTCGGTATTAAAAAAATGTTAAAAGGGATCAATACTCTCATCATCTCATTGCTTTGCGTGTTAATTATTTCACCATCAAGACTACACTTCTCAGATCCGACTGAATGAGCAGAGATGAAGTGGTTTATCATGAATTTCCTACTATGTATTCAAGCAAGGGTCTAGTCAAATAAGAAAGACGATAGACGTTGCCTTGCCTCTGCATCTTCCCACTCCACCAATATCCGTTCCTTGGACTCCTCCATCTTGATTTGCACCATGGTTTCCATGGCAGCTTGCTCTTCCGAGCTGAGAAGGTGGATTCTAGTCTTCCAAAGCTCGCTCTTGGGAATATTGCCATTCGGGTCACGTTGGCCAAAGAACTTTTCATCTAGATATTTCCAGTAAATCGCATCGAATGCCCAGCTCTTTCTCGCGGCATAGTTTAGCCAGAAACGCCCCGTGGCCCAGCTGTCCCGCATGTACGCTGAGAGCGGGAACGGCAAACCTGAGTTCCCCGCCTCCTTCTCTGCGTCTTCCAAGGCTGACAGCCATGTCGGGAGGCGTCTCTCGTAATCAGTCGCCCAATCGTCAACGCCTTTTTCCCTGGATTCGGGTACATCGAGCAGCAGCCACCAGGGTGAATCCAACGTGAACTGCGTTGGCGCAACATACGAAAATTCCCAGTCGATAGTCCCAAGAACGTCGCCATTGCCATCGACGAGAATATTATCCGGCCTAAAATCGTCACACCACAAGTGGAAAGACCCCGAATTATCAGGCATCGGCATGGTAGCACGCGTGTGCTTGGCCAGGGCTGACCAATCGTCCTGAGCAAAGCCAAAACTCGATAATCGTCTTTGCTTGGCCAATCTGCGGAAAAGTTGGCGGGCGACGTATTTGGTCCTGCAGTCATCTTCCGAGGATATCATGTCGTTGTGCTGAAAGAGGAGCGTTGCCATTTGCATCTCGGCCAGCTCCACGTACCACTCATCGGCCGTCTGGTACGTTATGTCTTTGGCCGGTAACACCGACTTTGGTATGTTGGAAAGGTTGACCATATTACTCATGTTGAAGGTAACGGGCCGTCCTGCCACGCAAATAGATCCTGGGCTGGTCTCGACAAGGGCCCCAATACGCGAGAAGGTAGGTCGTGTAAGCTGCAGCACGCATTGTGCAATCTTGTGATAGAGGTCTTTGAGTTTGGTTTCGGGAATATCAGGGTCCAACAAGAGCGTATCAGAATTGGGCGGTGACAGGGCGTGCCCCAAGGTTTTTCGTGACCCCATGTCTTGGATAATGAGGAACGGGCCGAGGCCAGAAATGGGATCGACACCATACTGAAAAACCTTGGGAACTATGAGTTGAGTAAACTGGGTAAGGTATCTCGCCGTCGCGGCTTCGCTAAGCATCATTTCTTCATGCAGAATGCCTTGACTGAGACAAGGCAGGCGTATCAAGACATTTGCGGGAGAAGCTTCGCCGTCTAGTCGAAAGGGATAGAGGACGTGAAATCCACCGAGGATCAGCGGTTCGATGACCTTTCCGGGGGAACCCATCACGGTCTCGGCAAGGACTTCAACCTTTCGAGAGTGTGATCTCAATGAGATTTGCTCAACATCTTCGTCCCAGAGTTTATCAGTCTGGTCCCATTTCAGGTTGTCAGAGTCCTGCCGAGCTGCCATTGCGCTGATGAACGAGGAGAGTGAAGAAGGAATGCAAACGTGGAGGGGCTGGAACCACCAACCAACATCGTGTGGTGTTTAAGGCCATAAGTGCCTGAGGCTGCAAAGGTCGTTGGGCGGCCGAAGGTCGTGGAAGTTAGTGTGGGGGTTGGTGAGTGTCTTGGCCATAACAGGCTTAAGGAGGCGTAGCAGTTGACGTCCAACGGTAAACCCATTGACGAAATCTTCAGGGCCCAAACAAAGGCAGCCAGTTCACCCAGCTTCCGGTGAGTCTTGCAAAACCCAAGAGTGTCATGCATTGTGGAGCTACGATAACACATCAAGCATTCCCTGGTCAAAGCTATTGAATTCAACATTGGGGGCAGGCGCCGAATCGCGCCGAATTCTTTGATCAATGTCGCTCGGTCCACCAACATCAATACTTTACTTACCTATGACACGCCCGACTTGGCAGTGCACCTTTGGCAGACGATATCAAATTACTAAGACTTATCTTCACAGGCCGAGCAACGAAAAAGATTTAACAAAGTCACTGTGTCGTGAAGTAAAGTACTTGACGGGTCTCAAGGGCTTGGTCTGAGGCGGCTGGGTAGGGACAAGGCAGTCAGCAACTTAATTCTGTGGATACCAGCAGGGCCTGGAGCCCGGAGGTGATGCCTAGTGATATCCATCTTGAAGAACGAATTCTCAGAATTCGCTTCGAATGGCTAGAGGTGTAACAACCCCAATGTTCGGAACAAAGGTGGAATCTGGGGAGTTATCCCGACGAAGAGAAACCGAGCATGGGTTTTGGTAAACATACCAGTGAACGCTGAACAGTCTGATGCTGAGAATAAGGCGCTCAATGGACGGTAAACTGGGTGAGGAACTTGGAAGAAAGATGGTAAGCGATGACTTCTTACAGTCAGAAGCTCAAATAATTCGAAATGAAAAATTGCATATAATCCAGAGAAAGCTTCGGGATATGTTGTTTCATTCTAAAGTAGAGGCTCACACTCAAGCAAATCATCCCTTTCGACCTTCCCTGAATCGAGTAAACAACGTAAAGTTGCTTCCGGTATCGTCTTCATATCCCACCTCGGCGTTCCAAATCACAACTTCAACAGGCACGTCGCTGTCTTTATACCGGCTCAATATCTTGACTAATACCTTAGATTAATCAGGACGATTATCATGGAAGACGATGACATTACAGAAAACGGAGAGTACCAAGAGCACGTAGTCGACAAGAGCTATGCTAAGGGCGACAAGGCGTATGAGAGAGGTCAGAAGAACAGCAAGAAAGTAAAGAGTAATGAAATTATGGATGATACCGGAAGAGAAGCCCAGGCAAGACGTGCCAATATGAAACTCGTGAAAAATGCCGGAAGGGCAAGCAGAGAACGACGCGGTTATAAGGACGAGGAGAAGGATGACGAAAAAGATGGGGAGAAAGATGAGAAGGATGAGAAGAAAGCGACTTGATTTATCGCGTCATCCCCTCATTCGACGTCGCAACATACTTTAGAAATGTCCTGGATATCGTCCTCAAGTTTATAGGCTCATGTTAATTCAATATCGTCTCAGTAATTGATGCAAGGTCACTACTCAAGCCTGAAATTGGTAACTCTGAATACCCATGAGGGCATCTCGTCACGCGGCTCATAGATAGATTGACTGCTTCGGTTCGAGTAGGCGGTCATTTAAGAGTACGTAGGTCACGTTGGTCAAGGCAACAGTCAAAGCTATTTACCCAAGTACTTAAAGCACGGCCATTCCCTCTTCGGATTCAAAGGAACTTGGCGTGTCTCCCCACAACCACTACATGTAGGATTTGAAAACCTGAGCTTAGCGCATTTACCGGATATTGAGCGGCCGCTCAGAATAAGCATCGAAGGTCCGCGACAATCGATTAGAAAGCTAATCCCGTCTGCTGTATGTGATACTCGCAACTTTGACGGGAAGTTTCCTCAGGAAGCTGGGCCAGCACTCGCAGCGCTGACATTTCGGCACGTTTACGGGGTGAGCGTCCGTTCTCATGTCCCTGGTGACATGGTCGTACGAGACGAGTACATTGGGTGGAATACATGGGATGAAATAACTGTGGAGTACCTAAATTACGGTCCGGTACTGACTGAAAGTACTGTAGCTAACGGCATGCCTCTTTCTGGATAGCGACTCTGACTATTATGGGGTGACGCTTGATCATCTTGTTCCCATGGACGACGCCGATCCGGAAGTACTACAAATCAACATCATCGAGGTGGAGTCTGATCAAGGAAAGACCGCCAACGAATACGTGAGCTTTCCGGTTGATGCACTGGAATATACAGGAAAGAGAGTATTGGCCGTTCCCAGATGTTGTCAGAAACGAAAGGGCACTACAGATCGTGCAAGGGTCAATAACGGTGTTTTGCACAGGGATGGGCATCCCAACCCGCGGATGCAAAGCAAGTAAAGCAGTGGTAGGCCAATGTCGTGACCGTCAACAGTTGCATACTTGAAGGACGGCAATGATTATATTTGGATATGTCATGCGCCTTTTCTCAACTTTTATAACGGTATGGATACTTCTGAGGCATTGAACGACCTGTGGTCCGTGTCTACAAAGTGTCTCGATACTAGCAAGTCAACTCATTTCCATCTTAGTGCTCGCAGAAACTCCACTCCACATCTCTTAGCTCGTCGTTAACAGTCTTTGACAAGACTGTCCTTTCCTTCATAAGCTCTTCGCGCATCTTCTTTGCTTCGTCCATTTCGATCAGAGCGCTCATAGTCTCAACCATGTCGTTCGCTCCATGAATCTGGTCTTTACCCTCGAACCAATGCTTCTGCTGAGGAGGCACATTCGCCGTCGAAATCACGGGAACAGCAGGATCGACCAAGAACAGAGCCACAATCTTCCTATACCCAGGCTTCGTCGGATCCTCCAACCTGAAAGGCCGCACCCTATGCTGGCTCAAGTTTGAGAAGAAGAGCGTCCTTCCCGGCCGCGTCAGCACGCTGCCCACCTCCTGGAGGGTATCAGAACTACTACGAATAGCAAAGACCTTTTCGATGGACCTGTGATCGTACTGCTGGTAGTTGAGACGCTGATCCAGCTTCTCCCTGTTCCCTGGAGCGCGGAAAGCGAGCTGGGACTCGGTGATGTTAGCGCTATCGTAGTAGAAGAGCGCTGTGGCGCAGATGTGCTCGTTGAGTTGACCTTCGATATGCCATGAGCCGCCGTCGTAGGTTGGCTTCTCGGGCGTAAGGTGAATGTTGGCGAGCTTGACGATGACTTGGATGCGGGGTGCGTTGTTGAAGAATCCGGCTTGTTTGATGTTCTTGGGCGACAGCCTGAAGTACGAAGAGGGCTCTCGGACTTGCTCGTCTTCGCTGTGGCTGTCATCGTCGTCGTCGTCATAGTCGTCATCATAATCTTCCTCATCGTCGCTTTCATCACAGTCTTCATCGTCGTGCTCATCATCCTCAGAGGCCGCATCGTCGCTCTTCAGTCGCTTGCTTTCGTGGGCGTCTCTGCGTTGTCTGCCTATCTTCTCTCCAGTAGCAGCTGTGGGCTGGACCAAGTCGTCAATCTTCAGGTGATGGCCTTCTGGCCTATCCATGGGAACATTATTTTCGTTCCCGTCTAACTGGTTTCCCTGCTCAGGGACAGCATCGGGTATCGCAACACGCTTTCCAACCTTTCGAGCCCTGAGACGCTGCACTGGGAACTTTCTCACCCAGCGATAGATGATGTCCCAAGCTGGCAAAGCCTTCCGTATCAGCTCTTCGATTAAAGGGTACAGATCAGAATGTTCCCTTGGGTGCAAGTTATTGACATAACTTTCGATGGTGGGTCGGCCGTCTTCGTTAATAGCGACGTCAGATGGTAGCCACTGAAACTTCGTGGATACCAGCTCAACAGGTGCGCCTTGCCAGTCGAAAGTTCCACCTTCACCAACGTCGGACTCGTCGGGTTTCGGTATGAGGGATCCAGGTCCGCCAATTTCGAGGCAGTTGTCTAATGTGATACGTTGATGCATGATACGTGAGCGGCCGTACAAGAGTGGGAAGAGTGACGGGTGCACTAAGTCGAGAACTTTACCGTCACTTCCCGGATGCCAATCCTTTGCGACGTCGGGAATATCTTCGAGAGATTTGACGGCGACTTTGAGGCGATCAACCAGGGAGCTGGGTAGCAGCTTGTCTGACTTGATGACACAAGTAGAGTAATCCAGGACAGGAATGAGGCCCGTTTCCTCGTACAACGTTGACTTCTTTCGAAGTTCTTGCATGCACTTGGAATGTTAATGTCAGCTAATCAATGCAATTGATTCCTCGTGACCATCTGAAGGCTATAAGAGCTGGACTGAAACTCACCGCTTCAGCCATGTTCTTTGTGAAGTCTCCATGGCTTCTGTATGCCGACCAGTCCAAAGCCTGCACTTCTTCCTTCCACTTGGCGGAGATCACCGGATCTCGAACTTTGCGCCACCACTCAGGCTTGTTGGTAATGTCTTCCATGAATTTGAGCATGCAGACTTCTCGAATCAGCAGAGTACTGGCTTTCCAACTCTTGTTGGTGTCTTCCATAAGCACAGGGAATCTATCTCGCTTCTCTGGCAGGTAGTTCAGCGGCAGGCCGTAGCCCGGGAGACGAATCGCTCCGGAAGTATGGGAAATAGACGGAGGTTGAAGTTCATCGTTCTGGTGTTTAGAGTGAGTTACTGTTCCGTGATATGATAAACACCGGCTGGGTGCTTACGCTGAACTGTTTGAATTGTAGTTGGGTCATCTTGAATCATCCAGTCAAAAGATCGAAGTTTCAGGAAGTATAGTGGTGGAACTGGGAACCTAGATGAACAGGTTGTCGAAGGCTCCAAGTTGAAGTTGTTCTCAGATGCATTTTTACCAAAAGTAGCCCGACTAGCGCATGGCACAAATGGTACTTTATGTTCGTAAACAAAAGTCACTGGTTTGATCGGCTCGGGGATATTTCAGCGAGCTAAAATATTGTCCGCCAGTTGCCTGAACCTAAATTTATGGAACTTAAGGAACATGACTCGGTGGCGAGATGTCACTTCAGTGAATCTGTGAACATCAATATGCAAATGCTGTTCAGTGAGGCCAAGGATTGAAAGGTTGACGCTGCAAACTTCCTGTCGAACGATCAATAGTAAGTACGGTGAGCGATGGTGTATCTTAAAATGGAACGTTTGCTGATATGCGTGTGACGGGGAAGCTCGGAGCTACTCTCAATCGCAATAGAGGTAATGCACTTTCTGGGCCGTCTTCGCGTTCACCATGAAGCATACGGCTGCCCGCCCTAGACCTGTTCTCAAGATCACGGTAGCCATGGAGTTCTTCAAGGTCACAATGCTGGAAAGTAAAGACTCACCTGCATGGATTGTAGATTGTTTTCTTGATACTCATTACCTTATCTCGAGTCGCAATTTGGGTGTTTGACACATGATATACGCTGATAGTTGGAGTACGTTGATACTTCGGGGAAGGCGATAAGTGACGGCTCAGGTGGTATTCGGCTTACTGCGGCACATGGGAAAGGACCGACAAAATGAGCGAGCAGGAGGGGACTTTAGGGAAGGTACCAGTGTCTGCCTAGTCTTGGCATCATGCAAAGCGTGGTAGGCGTGAAAGTCCCGCTCTGGAAAGGTTCAGTGTACCGATTGGAAGAAGATATGTTTGTAGTTCAGATCATCATCCCACCCTCCAAGCCTTGATCTGCATGTGTCTTTGTGATGCCAAAACGGCGTCGATAATAGAAGCAGCGCTAATGGACTTAAGAGAAATTCCCTGATGAAAGTGAGTTAGGTACACTTTCAAGACCAACTTTCAACTCGAGAAATTTTCCAATAGACTTAAAGGGGTTTGTTTGGTATCACTTATCATTAAGTATTCGGTCATAAGTGAGAAAGCCTGAGGAGGTATCATCTAGGTAGATCTTGGTCCCGACACTGTCATGCACCATCTCTCACAGAGGCATCGCCAAGGCAACACCAGCAAGCGCGGCAAAAGCCCATACCGTCGCCAGTATTCCTACATTACCCCCCGCAGTCGTCATTCGGAGGCCGTGAGCCGCACTAGACGCCCCCGTCCCCGTCGGAGCCGAAGACCCGCTAGCAGCCGTCGTGCCGCTTCCACCTGCGCTGCTGGTCCCGGTCTGCGCAGCCGCGTTATAAATCATTGTCACTGCGGGTCTCGAAGCGACCGGTATCCAACCATCAGCCTGGGCATTGGTAAAGGTCCGCGTGCTAGTCCTGATGTTGTAGCTGGTGGGTGTGTACGAGTATACAGCTCCGGAGACGACGGTATTGTTGTAGGTGAAGGTCGCTTGCGCCATGGTCACATTGCCAACGAGCCGCTGACACGCCGTCATTGCGCCGTACACAGACTCTGGAACTTGCGAGAAGCACTCTCCGTTGAACCCTACAGTATAGCCACTGATGCAATAATGTTCGTTAACCTCTGGGAAAACTCTGCTATAAATTGCCGCGAGCTTGAACTTACTCGGGACAGCAAATGACCGCAGTCTCATTAATTTCGAGAGCCTCCATAAGAACGTTGACGATGGGGTTATACGCCAGCCTGTCACTCATGTACCCGGACCCAAACGGCACGCTGACGATAGGCGGGACAAAGACTCCAGACGAGCTGATCGTGCCCTCGGCATTCTTTGCAGCGACACCAGCTGTCGTGTACTGATCAGGACAGACGCTTGCGGGCGAGAAGTAGGCAATGGTGCCCGCGTCAACGGTGGCAGTGGCCGCTGAATGGATCTGATCGAAGACGGTGCCGGAGGGGAAACACTCGCCGTATGCCGAACCTTCGCATTTCTGACGGAAGAAAGGTTGGACGCGGTCTGTCAAGACGGATTCTGCGGCCAGCCAGAGGCCCGGGGATGAGGTAGCGCATGAACTAGGCGCAGTAAATATTGTTGTCAGCGGCCCGACGTTTGTGATTGCATGTTGTGAGAGTTCGGTGAGAGGCATGTTGGGCTGGCCTGGATTCGGAGTTACACTATACTCTCTGTTAGGGTTCTGTGTCTTCTGAACAAAAGTCGACTATGAACGCGATTTGCTAACAACGGGTTGAGGGGAAGTCGCTTTTAACTATAAGCTGACAGCACCAAGGGGGTTGCAATGAGAAGGCACCAAAGACAGCGGCTTGCATATTTTTCTCTTGGCAGAGACATGTCAGCTCGGTCTACCGCACTGCTCTCCAGGTTTATCGTCACATTAGGTTGTTTGCTAGCGCCTTCAAGGGCCAGGCAGACACAAGTCGGGCAAAGAGGGCATGTTACATTTCGTCATTCCACTGCCCGATTCAGCGACAAATGTGCTGTGCCGCACCAGGTCAGCGAGCTTAAGCAGTCTTGGCATGATTCAAGCTCTGGCGACGCTCAGGAACATATCCTAAGCAAGGAAGCTTGTTTTGCGTGTAGCCAGCCCTTCACGGCGCGCCTCGGACCGCCGATGGTCGGTGAGGTGAGTTGGGTTAGGATGGGTGAGATGGGTGAGATGGGTGAGTGGTCAGGCGGCATCTGTTGCTGGCGGATTGGTGGGAATTCCTGGGTAGCATCTTGGCGTCGTGGTTTGAAGGATTCGATAATCTCACTCTTTTCCATTGACCCCAAGGGAGCGAGCGTTGTGGGAACTTTTGAGCAATGTCATCAGAGTCGGCGAGCTTGCGATCGAAGGCAATGACATCAGATGTCCCAGATGGAGGGCCAAGATCGGGCGCTTTCGTTCCCTCATCCCATCGCTCCGTTTAAATTGCTCTCCGCGAGAGTCTGCCCTAGGTCCTTGGCGAGATCTACGTCGCCCTCCTGGGCTTCCCCGCACGGCGATGCTAACTACCAAGATGGTGAATAGCGCGATGGTACTGCGTCAGGTACCGAGATAGTCGACGTCGATCAATTTAATAAAGCGAAATGGGAGCGACGACTGGGCGTTCGACGTCCGGTCGTTTGTAAAGGGTATATCAACATCCCTAGACTCGTTTCCGTGGTCCTCTGCTTGAAGGCTCGAGAAGATTGTATTCAAGGTGTCTTTGAAGAGGCGTCTGGCCTACGCCCAATCTCAAAAAAGAAATGTCTTGAGGAAGACGACTTACCAAAGGCGCGGATCAAAATTCATCAACAGTGTGGTTCGACGCCTAGGATGTACTCAATGGAAATGTCATTGCCTATGACTGACTCTGTGGGGATGACCCCGGTATCTGATTTAATCCTGAACTCCGTCTGGTCCTAATTGTTCTGGGGCCGCCGATGACACGATGATGCTTTGGTTGACCTTGTAACCCAATCCCCTCCAAACGCCAATGCCAATGCTGCGAAACACACAAACATCATCAACCTGTCCCTCATGATGGGTACCTCATCCTGTGGATAGGGCCTCATGGGGCAGTTATTCATGACGAGATAAAAGAAAACACCCCACTCAGCAGACGTCCAACGTCGGGCACGCAGACTCAACGATGCGCGACGCGAGATTCGGACGCAGGACACGCTGGAAGTGGCCCAACTCGCTCCTCGGCTCATGTCTCTTGACCCTAGCCGTCGCCGTCTCTCCCTCCTTGGCCTCCTCGACCGCATCAACAAAAGCAAGCCTGCTTCTCGCCTCGCCGGCAACGATCTTGGCCGTATGCGCAATCGCGCGCTCACTCAGCGTGAAGGGCGAGTGGAAGAGGTACTCCTCGGGCTTATCGCACGCAGCGTACCCTCCGCTCGCAGCCTCAGCGGTCTCTGAGGTCTTTGCCCAAATACACGGCGTCCACGCCTCAGCGAAGAAGAGGTTATCGCTATCCTCGGTCCTGTTACCCCGGCCCGTGCTGTCTGTGAGGTCGTACTCGCGCATCTGCTTCTCGATAATCGCCTCGCGGACGAAGCTGGCCGTATCGATCTGAGCGGCCACACGGCGGGGGAATGGCACGCGAAGAGCCTCGCCCTTGGGAGCGGCCTTGAGACCCTGTTCCGCACGGGAGCGACGGTAGTGGGCTGTGGCGCGCTTGCTGGCGGGCACGTAGCCGAACTTGCCTCTCTCCTCCTCGGGGTTCTCAGGCTGAGGATCAGCGGTGCGCATCCATTCGTCCATGCGGCCCTTGATCTCCGAGTTCCATCGCGCGGTGAGGTGCGCCGCATTGGTCATCTGTTCGGCCTTGGTGTGAGGGCTAGGCGGCGCCGGACGCTGGGCGTGCCAGCCGGGAGTGAGGGAGACGTCGAAGAGCTCCGGGATGACGACGCGGAAGTTTTCAACCTCGCGCTCGTCGATGTCGCCGCCTTCCCGATCCATGTTGTTCAGCTTGTCGATGAGCGAGGCGTTTTGATAGGCCCAAAAGTCCGAAAAGGCGACAGAGTCGTTGTCGAGAGCGGCTTGGTAGACGCGCTCAACTTGTGCGAAGAGGGCGCGAGCAGCAAGGTCTACTATACCCTGGCCCAACTCTCGTGGCAGGGAGGCGAGGGTCCAGACATCCCACGTGCCGAAGGAGAAGACCCAGATGGTCTCCTTGGGGATGTTCTCGCGTGTCTGGGGTTGGGCGAGGAACGTGTCGATCTGGGCGGCAAGGTCGGCGACGGTATCGGCGATGGGGAACTGGTCGAGGAGAAAGTCGTAGTTAAAGCCCGGCGCCTTGTACTCTTCGATTTCACGCTGGACTTTCTCAATGGTATCGCGATAGTGTTGGTTAGATGTCAAAGCCTGCGCTGGGAGACTGATCAAAGGAGTGAAGGATTGGTGAGAGGAGCATCGGAGCTTAAGGTCATGTTAGTCAACTGTAATTTGAAAGCGACACGAACACAGAAATTAGACCTACCTCTTCACAAAGGGCCTCAGTCCATCCCTTGCTCTTGGCTCCCTTTCCGCTCGACGGCGTCGCGATATCAGGCGATCCAAACGCAACGACTCTCACACCACCAGGTCCGAATCCAGCATCTTCTGCGCTCTTGCCGAAAGGCGACCAGCTCCATCTTGAGCTTGAATCGAATATCGTGTCTGTCGATGTTGGCGACGTGAAAAACTTGCCCAGAAGAAGTAGCCCGCAAAAAGCAAGAACAAGCTGGACGATGAGCCGCGGGCCGCCTCGCAGGACTCGTGTAGATATGAAGGCGAGGAGCATCTTCAAGCTCATGTCGCACTGCTCAAACGGGTTGCCGGAGGCGCTACTACTGCTGCTACTGCTGTACGCCGCCGGTGATGAAGGCCGCCGTTCGTGGCGGGGGAGCTCCTTTGACATTCTGTGCGAGGTGTGTCGAGGGAACTGAGTTGCGTCGTCAAAGGTGACGATGATCTTTGGGATGAGTCCAGGCGCCACGGTTGGTAAGGTGAGTCGACGGGGCGACCGATGCGTGGCGTTTCTTCGTTCAAGTTCTGCTATTGTTTCCCCTATCTTCGTTGCTTAATTTTCTCCCGGGTATGAACTAGCAACAATGATGACGGGAAATATGTCGGCTGCCGTTTATGTTTCGGATAATATTTCGTGATCCCTCAGAGCGGTGGTTCACACAGCCCTTCCCGATGTAGTAGGCGCTCGCATGTGTGTGTGGTGTGTAGATGGAACACCGTTGTTGCTCGTGGTACCGTGCCAAGCCGGCAGTCGAAGAGGCGAAAAAGTCAGTGGTTGACCGCCAAGAGGTCGCTACACCGGACGGGCGGGATGGTTACGTCGGGGACGGATCGTGTGCCGGATTTTCGTCCGCTGATCTATTCCTGAGTATTCCACCGGAGGAGGCTCTACGTAAACAGATGATGAAAGCCGTGGAAACAAGAAAGAAAATGAGGAAAGGTATTTCTGAGGGATGATCAGGTACAAAAGTGTCAAGAGGTCAAAGGGATCCAACAGGAGGAGGGACGAAACAATAACCACACTAAAAGAAGATGGGAAGACGTCCCTTCAAAAAGCAACCTCTCAGACCCTCTTGCAGGAGAAACCGATGGGAATCTTGGTAGGAAAAAAGGGGGCCCTTCCTCCGGGTTTCCAGGGAACACTCGGGATGTGGCCCAGCCTTGAATCATCTGGGCGCTCTCAAGGTCACTAACTGACTATCACCGGGTGTGGCTACCGTACATTCTCCATGTCACTCGGTACTTTGATATGGAAACTGAGTAAAGAGGCATTCACCGTCGTCACCAATGATTGGAGGGGGAAAGGCGGGAAGGCGGCTTGGTCTGATGGTCTTGTCATCCATGATCCCCGGTTCATCCCAGCTTCCACCTCAAGTTGACATTCAGGCGAGCGGGGAGTGGGCACATCGGCGTGGTAGGCCTGTCCTTTCACCTCTTTTACTTTGCCTCATCCTCGCATTTCCTGGGAATGCAGCGGCGGGAGCGCTGAGAACGAACGAAACAGGAGCAGGGCCAGCTGAGGAAGAGAGCCATAGAAACCGCACAACGTTAGTCGGCGCTTGTCACTGCGGTTGCCGCACCGCTCTTGGTGTTGCTGGGGATTGTGTCATCCTTGCTTTGATGTGCAGTCGTCGTAAGCTCGAGTGGAGACCGTCATCTGAATGGGGGTTCTATGGGCTTGCGAAGTGCGCGTGTGTGGCTCAGGCTTTTTTTTGGTTTGGTTTTCTGGGACCATGGCCCTATCCTTTTCTCGGTCCGCCCCCTTGGACGGCGGGGATCAAGGCAATAAGTCTATTTCCATCTATAATAATTCTTAGCAGTCAACACTTAAGAATTAGAGTCTATCGAAAGAGAGGAGATAGTGAGAGGCAGTGGCTCTACAGACACTCTGTACGGATATCGGCTTCAGACCTGGAGACTCGTGGTGTCATGGTAGCTCAGGGGCTTGCAGACGTGTGTCTGCATCCGTCCAGGAGGCTGGATAGCATGTTGGTTCGTCTTGCGTCGTGTTTGATCCCCCCCGCTGTACCCGCTGCCGCGTTGGTGTCGCATTTCTGCAGGTTACGCAGCCCATTACATTTCTGGGCGCTCCGCCGTCTCTACTAGGCGCCCCAGTTCTGAGTCTTGCTGTCTTGCAACCCCATGGTCCATTGTCCATACCCATCGAAGAAGTCTCGGCCGTTGATGTTTTCTCTGTTTCGGGGGGTCTCATGACGGCTCTGGAGACCGAGACCGGGTATGCTTCTGGCATCTCTCCTCGCCCTCTAGCGGCAAACATGCTCGGGATAATTGCAGGCAGTTGACGGCATGCAGAGTCGGGTTGATGCAGGCAGAGGGTGGAATTTTGCACCAGTGCCTTGAACGTCCATAGGAGTCATGGCAAACTTCCTTTCTCCACATCCCGAAAGCCCTGCCAGCGGTCGAGCCGTGTCAATCATCAGCTCAGAGGAGAGTCAGCGACAGCGGCGAACCCAACTCATCTGGCAATGCATCACGCGAGTGTCTCCATCATTGATAGTAGGTATAGTGGGGAAAGCGGTTGTGCTGCAGGGTGGAAGGATGGTAATCCATATTCCCAAGCCTTGGAGATTCAAGGTTGTTTTCTTTTTTCTCACACACTCTGTGAGCATATCCTAGGCTCACAGCGAATAGTTCGCGCTCACGGCCTTCGTGTTCCCCCAAGAAGATGTCTTGACCGACTTGGCTGTGACATGAACGGTTTGTACTTCAGCGAAAGATCAGCCACCTGAGCAGTTCCCGAGCTAACCGGATAGCCGCTGCCGAGACCTTGCAGTTCAGTCTCTCTCAGAGTTCCCCCTCCCGTCAGATTTCACCCATCTTCAAGTCTTTGCGGCGCCGAGGACGGCATCTTCGGCCATCTCAATGCTACCATGTCACTTCAAGCTTACCGCTTGTGTGTTGCGTGGCTTGGAGCTATGTGCCGGCCGCCGGGCCATGGGGCGAACCCGAGCGATGCTGCAAAAACACACACACAACAACGAGAACCCATGGGCCATGAAAACAATTGCCCAGTCAATGCTGCCAAAATTCCCGACGGGGAGAAGGGGAGAGACAAGGGGAGTGGAATTCCCTTACCCCTGTTCCCCAAGAATCTTAGCACACGTCATTCTGGATGTCTCCGAGAGATTCCCAATCCTCGTCCCGCCCCTCAGAGACATGGGCGGATTCGCGGAAACACACAAGGAGGAGGCCGCGGTGGTGGGTTCCATACGCCTGTGTGACAGGCTCCGCGAAGCCCGCCCACATCGTTCACAAACTTTGAAACAAACGTTGATCTAGAGAAATTGAAAGAGGTCGAGAACAAAACGGCTTCCACGTAATCCTCGAGAAAGGTCAGAAGCCCCTCCGTTCTCGCTTGGCCTCCCTCCGAAGTGAGCTAATTCGGACGCGCCGCGTTGCACCGCCGGGGGAGGGACTTCCCATGTTCTCTCCCTTCTTCTTCCTCCGCCGCCCGCTCGGTCATGCGCCGTGCCGTGGTCCGCCCACTTCCCGCGGCTCTAAATTTGAAAAATGGGCGGCCGTCCTCGCCGCCGTGGTGGTTGATTGCGATTCGCGAGTCCCACTTACCTGGCAGATGGGGATGAGCCGAGGGATATGGTAAGATAAACAGAGAGGCTCAGCGTCTTTGAGTGTGAATGCATTCGTAACCTAGGCACTTAACAATCTTAAGTAGCATCTTAACTCAGCCTGGATGTCCACGTCGCCCTTAACCAGGCCTGCCCGCAACTCAAATAGAGGATCACCAAATGCTTGAACCCAATTAAGCAATGTTCGCAATGCCCTCCATGCCTCCACCTTCCGTCGCCACCGTGGTGGTTGACTGAACTGAATCTTCACCCGTCGTGTACTCCACATCGCGTGTATCCGTACGATTGTCATCGCCGGGCAATCACGCAACCCAAATTTAGAAGCCTCCCTCGAGATACATGCCCGTCACGGCGAGCCCAATCGCCGTGGTGAAGGGGTACTTCTGCGGGAACCCCGGTCCGCCGTGCTCCGGGTCCAGCCCGCTGGTGCCGGGGTACAGCAACGAAGCCCATCCGGCCACCCAGTAGATGGACCCCATGAAGCCCGCGATGCGGAACGACTCCTTCGACATTTCGGCAGACGTGTTGGTTCGCCACGTGAAGAAGAGGGTTGCCATGCCTAAGATCAAAGAGAGCGTCATTGTCTGCGCATTGTGGAATCTGAGTGGTTGTGGTCAGCTTTCGCAGATAACGGAACGCAGACATGTAGGCTGACGGCATCGACTTTTTCTGTCGTGCGACCTGCCCGCACAGAAAGGTAAGATCACTCACTTGGCATGTGGCGGCCACCGCGGATTATGGATGTGCGTCTCATTCCAATCGGCCATGTATGCGCCAAACAGCAGCATGATGCCGTCGAGGGTAAGGAGGACGCGGCCGAACATGCTTGCGGGCCGATATCAATGTCTCGGCAACTTTGACTCGTCGCGGTTCGCTTCGATCAATTGTGTATGTGGAATGCTTCAATCGAGCTATCGTGCGTCTTAGCAGTTGTTGAGACCAAGCTCGGCACAATAATCAAGTAAATAAAGTAGTGTGCATTCGTGGCTTGGGAGGCTCCTTTAACTCCTCACTTGTCCGCCAGACAGCGTCATCCGTTCATCAGAACGTCTGAAATGTGCAGAGTCGCGTCCTGTCTCGTTGCCGTGTCACGTCGACACCTGGTAGAGCGCCGCACTCCTCGTGCTCCGACTTTTACACGCGAGGAAGCCCGCCTTGACAAAGAAACTCAATGCGACTCGCTCACTTGGCTATAATCATCTCTGATTCAGACCCGGTTGAGTGATATCAATCCTACCTACCCATGTTCGTTCTCTGTTTTCCCTCCTCGTTGCCGGACTTAGGAGGAAGAGTGTTGGGGATCTCCGATGGGTTCCGGGCGTGCCGCCCTCGAGGCTCGCGGCAACCTCAGATGCGGCACGCGAGGAAACGCTCGGTTCCGGTCCGAAGAAACAGTAGTAAAAGTCGTTGTGAATGTGCAATTTGTGGTAAGGGATTGGAACATTGGACGTCAGTGCATATCGTACCCGTATCCTTAATTCTTTGAGGACTGGCTATCTAGAAGGCCGCACGCTAGGGATCCGTCCACCCCCACGAAGAGAACCTCGCCGTTTGTCTTTATCGCTCAATACTTGCTTTCAGGTTGCTCAATGAGTATATCTTCTGAGTTGATCACTGTCTTGGTGAGTAAGTGATTGATTGATAAACTAGATGAGTACGGTAAGTATAACGGGCTGCGCTCCGAGGAAATCCCGTCATGAGCCCCGTTTTCCATCTTACTCTACCTTAGCCGGTAGAATTACCACGGGCCGGGCGGACCCTGATTCCGGAATTTGCTCCGGTATTACACCACTTGCTTCGTACAGTGAAAGCTTCACACCACAACATTGTGTATCTCGAAGAGATGACTTGTATTTCATTTGAATGCACTGCCATAAACCATTACGAAAGCTGCAAGTTTTGGTTCGTATGCTGGCTTAACGCACGCTAGACAAGCGGCGTGCTCGGGCTCAAGAGGAAGGAAGTTTGCTGATCTCAGGGAGTCTCAATGCGAAAAATTGCCCCGCGAATACCAACCGCATTCAGGTATGTTGGCTCAGGTCGAACCATGCCCATGCTGCAGTTACGGTATGATGCCGTTGAAAATAATAACGTCTGTCGGTGAATGCTCGAACAGGTTCGGTAAAAGTGGAAACTCCATTCCTTGTATACATTCAGCGTCGTGGCATAGGGTTTAGTCCAGTCTCGATGTTTCGATTCGCTCAAGGAACGCTACTTGTAAGTGAGCCTTATTAGCATGGGTTCGAACATCACCACAGCCCATGTAGCTCGGACCTGAGGTTGGGGAAATGCTCGAGCGGCCGCAGCTAAAGGTCATGACGCCATTCCGGCCTCGAAAATCACAAGCCAGAAGCTCATCCCTACACTCAGGGCCCCAAGCTCTTCTTTCATCGCGCACACCAGACATAACCTTTTCCCACCTCCATCAAATATCCTCGAAACTGTACACCCGCGAGATACCGGTCCATATCCTTCGATAGCATTAGCCTTTAGACCTCGCTCTACATAACCATCCCCAATACGACCATGGTTCCCACCAAAAAGGCCCTCGTCCTAGGCGCAACAGGCAAGCAAGGCGCTGCCGTCGTCGACGCTCTCCTCGACCTCCCATCTAGCTCACCAACCCTCGAGATCCTCGCCCTTACACGAAGCCCCGAGTCCGCAAAGATCAAGTCCCTCATCGAGACGGCAAAGGCTAAGGGCGTCACTGTCACGCCCGTCCAGGGAGACCTCAAGGACTCCCCAGCGCCAGTCTTCGAAGCCCACCCACGCGTCGACACAGTCTTCATCGTGACTACCATCGGTAATGAGGACGCCATCGGAAAGGCCTGGGTTGATGCCGCCATCGACAAGGGAGAAGCCTCGCAGATCGTGCTGACGTCTGTTGACCGTGGTGGCGAGGATAAGTCATGGGTGAACCCGACCGATGTACCGCACTTCTTGCAAAAGCACGCCATAGAAGTGTATCTCCGTGATCGTGCAGACGAGCTTGAGAAGAATGGCAGAAAGCTTCGCTGGACCATCCTGCGCCCGACGGCGTTCTTGGATAACACCAACCCGGGCATGTTTGGCAAGGTGTTTGCGGCCATGTGGTCTACGCTACCCGCCGATCGGAGCTTGCAGCTCGTCTCGGTGCGGGATATCGGACTCTTTGCGGCCAAGGCTGTTGGGAATCCTGAGCAGTGGGATCGGAGAGCTGTATCGCTTGCAGGCGACAGTATCACTTACGCCCAGGCGAGAGAGACTTTCAAGAGAGTAGTCGGCAGCGATATGCCGCAGACGTACACCATCTTTGGTCAGGGCATGCTCTGGGCTATCGCCGATGTAGGCAAGATGTTTGAGTTCTTTAGAACTGAAGGTTATGGGGCGGATATTCAAGTTCTGCGGAAGGAGGAGCCACGTTTGCAGACTTTTGAGGCTTGGCTGAAGGAGAGTAGTGGGTGGAAGAACGAGATGAGCGGTCTTTGATATCTCGAGAAAGAAATGCAGCGATATGATATGATGGATCTGGAAGTCAACAATTAATTTAGGTACTTGAGACTTGTCTCGAACGACGTTACGCAACCAGTATATTTCCAGACCGCTGTCAAGTGCATTCGTTATCCAAATGTAATGTCGCCTTGAGTCGCCGAATGGAAGTCTGCGGAGGCATCACGACAGCTTGCAAAGGTATCTGTCTTCGCCATCGATGGGACGTCGGATTGTAGACCATTATACGAAAGAGCACTGGTTAATGAAAAAGGTTCAGGGATGTCGGAGAAGACAAGCCAAACTTTGCTTGATATGGTCATCTACCCGAAGTCACTATCAGGCTGGGTGACTAAGTGTTCAGGAATTTCGAAATCTTATCAAAGGGTGAAATTTGCGAACAAAAGATCTTCTCAGTGGATTGACGCATCATATTGATCCTGGGTCTCTAAGCCTCGCCACATGCAGACATTCTACCCAATTGTGTTGTTTGCATCTATCATATGCGCATTGCAATTGGGTCCGAGACTCTGAAGCTAGATCCAAAGTTCTCGTCTGCTCTCATTCAGGTTAGCAAGAAGCGCCAGCAAGATCAACAGCAGAGGTGGTGCATTGTTGGGGCGTAAGTCCAACGAAGGATCACTGCCTTGTCTAGGCAGCCATCAAGTTCCTTCCGCGATCCTCCAAGGAGGCAAAATAGGCTCATATAACGTAGTCAAGGTCGCGGAGACCTTTTGCCACTTGTTGTCAATATGTTTAGAGGTCAGCGCCTTCCAAGAACTTGTGACGGTACATCATAGTCGATATGAGGCTACTGTCCTGTTCCTTCCTAGTCTCATCCGGTATCTTACTCGCGAGGGGTCAGCAAGAATCGCTACTCACAAAAGCCCCGCCAGTAACCTCGGAAACAACGGCAGAGCAACAGAGTGCTGCCGCAGATATGGCTGACGCGATTGAATACGACTTCGTCCCGGTCTACATGCTCACAAAGCTCACAAATGAAGAAGAGGAAGCTTTTACATCTGCAATCTCGGCTCTGGAAGAAGGCGTTGCCGAAGAAGACGACTACCTTCGGCCGAAACTCGTGCACTGGACCTCGGATGTAGATGGTACCTTTGAAAAGGATCTCTTGCCTATGAACAAGAAGCTTGAACTAGAAACCACGTTGGAATCTCAGTCTCACTTCTTCTTCTATGCCGACCGTAAGAGTGTCGAGGACGGCGGAACTATCGTTGCGGGACACGACTGGGCCACCCTGTGCATCTCGAGGAGAGCGAACCAGAAATTCACCAAATTTTGCCAAGAGAGAGGTGTTAGCCTCCCAACGGGTGGCTGGAAGAGCATGGATGCTATCATCGTGCAGTTAACAGAGGAGATCATCTCCTGGGGCGTGACATGGGGCCGCCAGCCGGGGCCGTCCTGGAAATCAGCCTACCAGAATCTGGATCTTAACAACATGCAAATGTCTGAGCTCATCGGCATGCATGGCGAGGAAATCAACGTTCTGGAAGATTCCGATTGGGATGCACAGACTTTTGAGAAGAGGCTCCGGGAAGAACTTGATAAGATCAAGAACGAGCTTAGTACTTTGAAGATTCAAATCATGTAATAATTGAGACGCTAATGCTTATTGAGCCGTGAATGCTTGTTGAAAGTAAATGTGTTGATGCCCCAAATGCTTATCTCAGTTCTTGGAGAACCTTTGGGGGATCGGGCGCCGGGACACGAGCAGGTGAACCGGCTCCCGTCCCCACTGCCAGCCTCTCTTGGGTCTCGTCTGCATCGGCGTAACTTCGCGCTTGTAGATGCCTCTCTTGATTGGCGAACGAGCCGTACCGCATGTCGCAAAGAATGAGTCGCCGAATGCCTGGCAGTCCGTGTCGGTGAAGTTTTGGGAAAGGTTGGTGCAGAGCTGGCTGTTGCTGCTGAGGATGCCGCCCTTTTGACCGCATAGCTTTTGGCCGCCTGTTTGTACCACGGAGTTGGTGATGTGTGTCCTGCAGCGGCATTGAATATCGCCCTGCTGTGCTTGTACCATGACGAACCTGTTGATGTTAGCTGGGGATCGACGGAGCTCGAGGGTTTGGCGGGAGATCTTACATGATCGCCATCATGATGTAGGAAATAATGTTCTTCATCTTGTCAAAGTCGTTCGAGTTGGATGTAGTACTAGAGTGACTTGATTGTTTGGCTGTGGTCAAGAAAACTCTGTGTATCGTGAGTACGTTGGCACTGGTGGTGATAAGCCTTTATGTACGATGATCAAACTCCCGAGGCCACCTTGGCGCACGCGAACGACAACTCATGGCAACCTCAACATGCAACGAACCACTGTAGCAACCACACAGCGTAATGTGGGCGGGCTATCCGTGACTCGCGGCCTTCCACGAATTCTCCAGCTGTCAAGCGTCTGATGTTGGCCTCCTTGTGGCAGTAGCGCCTGACGGAAATGCCGATGGGGGATCTATCTGTGTGCTTGTCGTCTCATCTTTTTGGCCGCGCCTCATCAACCTGCCAGCCGCAGCCCGCAGGTAAGGGTTGATGAAGGGGGCTTGCAGGCCTGCAGCTAATTCTAGAAAAAGGGAAGGGGGAGTTAGGGAAGCATAACTTTTTCCCAAACGATCGTCCACGTTCGGATGACGTGTGTTCGTCAATGTCAGACGGAGCCGTTGGTGTTCCAGATCCTTGCGCGTGTTTCATAAAAAGGGGGCCACCATGGCTGCGCGCAACGCGTTCGCCCGTCGCAACTTGCCCGCTGACGAATTCTTAAACAGGAGCAGAAGAAATTACTTCAGCTCTCACGAGAAAAAACCACCCGTTAGTGAGGACTATGAGCCGACGGGCACCTCCTCTTCGGCTCGATGCATGCTGTTCATCGGCCGAGAAGACGCGTCAAGGGGATCATGGGGTTTCATCATCGAGATCAACAAACCGCATATCTGGTTTTGGGCGATGAATGCCAGTTAGGGGAGCTGTCATTCTCGGGATGCATCAGACTGATCTCACGTCGAGGCAATCCAAGTGGCCCTTTCAAAACCAGTAATAGCTATTAGAACAAAAGCTAGATGGAGGTTCTGCAATTAGTTGAATCATAGCCGCACATCACCCTTTTTGCGAGAAGTAGTCAAAGCCCATCATGAAACACCTAGCTAACTTTGAGCGATCAATTACTCCTCGTGGCACTAAGGTTTCCAGGATTACTGATAAGGTCCTTAAGACTAAGTGATTACAACATAAGCATATTCTGAGTTCTCAATGGGTGAGTGCAAAAGTAAGAACGCCTCATTCAGAAACTTTGGAGAACTTTGATGGGATGATAATTACTAGATACATCATTCTGGAGTGTCATCATTCTCATACAAGTCGGAGTACGAGTAAAATGAAAAACACAGTCTCGGGGGTGTGGATGAGTCCTTTGTTGTAACGCATTTCTAGTCTTGGGGGCATCTGCGAAAGGCACATATCAGAGTCTCAAGAAGCGATCTGATTAGTTACTGGCCATGGCTAAGATCTATAGTTTACCTAACCTTTTGTCCTTGATAATGCTGAATACCACGACTTGCACTGATTGATCATGGGAGTGCTTTTTTGGTCAGAATATGAACATTTGACACTTTCCAGCATGGAAATCACGCATTTCATGGCACTTGCGTACATGTTCAACATGAGTGTCACTTGTAGTACCTCAACTTAACTTGAGAAGCTGTATTCAAGGCGTTCATCTCAGCGTAGACTTGATTTGACACTCGCAAGCTGTTATAATCTCTGTAGTTGAAGCTTGGAAACAGCTCAAAGGCTTGCCTATGGTCTAGGATATACCTACCCGACACCACGCTGTTGTGGTGCAGGGTTCAACTACCTAACCCCTTCAAGGTTTTAGCCTTGAAAAGGGCCGAACCAGCCCTGCAACTAAATGGAGTGGTGATGGAATCTGCGCCGGCAGACGATTAGTCCATACTACGGCACAAAAGTAACATGATCCGTGTAGACATTGCTCGCCTCTTGTCAAGTGCGTTGACTCCAAAGTCGACTGATCCGTTTGCCTAAGTTCTGGCACAAAGTCTAGCAATTTACCCTCGCTTTACCTATTAATAAGTGACAACACATGGGGCATTGGCTAGAATGACAACACGAGAGAGTGTCCTGCAGTTGTACACTTTCATTGAGCCAGTGATAGCGATATTAATCGAAAACCTGCTCTTCCTAACTGACAGAGGTGAGAAACCTGAATTTGCGAAGCTTTTATTTCCAAACTGAGGCACGAAGCTCATGATAAACATACACCAGCTTAGCGTCTCTCGTAGTACCATACCATAAAGAGACGTAAATTCTTCTATAAAATTCAAAGTTAAAGGAGCGATTGAAAGCTAGAGTTTCCAAGGCTTTGATCTCGAGGTAGATTCTAGAACTGGACTCGATCATATGCAATAATGGCCATAACTTTCCACTAGATGACTCCTATACCCGTAGTTGCATCTCTTTGGCGAATACTTCCGATAATCTCAACCATATATCCATGATAGACTCCCATTGTATGCAGTATTATAAACCATGCGGGAGTAATAAATAATCGGCTAGGGGCTGATGTGTATCAAACACGTGCGGAGCCATGCAATCGCACGTATCACACTCCTGCTGGCAATAGGGGCGAGACGAAGGTCTAGCATCACGGAGAGTTTGAATCTCTCTCATAGGCTACACACTCTAAGCGCTCAGAGTAGACGTTAAATCACAATCGCTGCGTTGAAGTTGACTCGCCTGGCGCAGTCTAGTTGCGATGGAAAATCGAGTTGTCATTCTTCAGCTCTGGCTAAATCACCGTCAAATTTAAATCCAACCTTTCCAAAGAGAAGTACACTGGGGAAGGGCTCCCGGGTTGCCCTCATAGAATATGATCGCTGCCTGCTACGTAGATGTGGCCCGTCAGGCTGGAGTAAAAAGAAGCACCAAGCCTGTCTACTTTATTTTGCGTTGCAGATGGGAGCGCAAAGAGTGTCTAGAGAACGAGTGATACGTCAGTATTTCGTTGATTTTTCGAAAAATAGAGTCGCAAATGGCTTACTGCACTCAGCCTCGCTGGGCCTAGGACATGTTCGCTGGCAGTCCTCGCAAGCACCCGCCATAGCGGACGCAGCGTATGTAGCTAGAATAGCGAAAACGATCTGGAAACGCATCGTGGTAGATTAGATTGAAACGGTCAACGTTCTCGGTAAAGAGTACAGAAGTGATGAATAGTTGTGGTGTTTGGCTCTGATGATGGGATAGAAAGACGAGATGTTGTGAGTAGTTCGAGGAGGTCAGACTGCCTTTATGCCTGTAACAGTTCATTGTACGGAATCAAGAGGCAACCAAAAAATGCTGACGAGTCAGGTAATAAGAATCCTCAGGTTTGAGCTCGTTTGATACTCGCGGTCGCCAACCACTTGGCAAAGACTTCCATACTTTGTACACAGTGGTGCATCTGACATCCTGTTGAATGAGCCACACATGCTTCATATCTACTATTCTTTCTATATACAGTGCCGCCGCTGCTCGGAACTGGAGACTTTTCCTCGCAACTCTTGTAGGAGGGGGGCAGGCTTACGTAGAATCTCTCGATGTCATAAGATGCAGGAACAGCTCATAAGTATACATCAAATCGGATCACTCAAACCTTTGACAGCGCTCGCATGGGCAAAATGTTATGGTACGAATTATTGTCACGGTGCATCGACTGTGTTCATTCCATGGCAACTTTCAGACTTCAACTCAGCATTACTGTGACTTCTACGGCGATCCGGAGAAGTCCGCCGGTAAAGACGGGCAGTTTTTCTCTTCCAAAACCACGCCTGGCATGGAGATCCCCTGTCATCCGATGTAAGGACCCATCAGCTTCCCCAAGAGTATCACTTGAACTTAGCCGTCCGAAACCATTTCTTGTAACAAGGACAGAACTCTAACCTTTAGTTCGGATTCAAATGTTGGCGGCTACGAACACTGTCAGATTCTACGAGGCGCGTCGATCTCAACGCGATTGCGAGGGCAAGTCTCATCGCCATTCTTGCAGGTGCAAGGGTTTCCACGCTTGTAAACTTGGGTTGGTTAAGAAGTCGCCGGCTGAGTATCTATGCCTTGTTACTTGACGTCAGAGCTTTCACACGTGCACGGATGCATGCATGTAGTGCCCGACCGTGGAAAGCAACATAGCCGGGAGCTCTATTCCATTATATAGATTTCAGTACTCAGACCTGTATAGGGTATTCCCACGTCTGCTTTGTTTGGTGGTCCAAAGTTGTCCAATGCCCCCAAGGCGAAGACCTGGCTTCGTTTTCCGCCAACTCGCTAATTTTGGTACATGTAGCATTCACACACCCACTGGCCCGCGCTTAGCCGTATCCCATTGACATATCGAAAGCACTTGACTCTCCAAAGGCAACATCGCCATCGTCCCAAAGAAGACTCAGCATCAAGTCTTCCCCGCCAGATGCGGTTGGGTCAAAAGACAAAAGGTCTTGCCGATCACCTAAGTCTACAATAGCATCACCTGCTCTTTCAGATCGTTCTTGAATTCTGCCATGCTCGATGCTTTCGCGCAGCTGCGACGTCTCTCCCTGTCTATGGGTCTCAGGACTCTCCGCTAAATTGAATGATAAAAGTCTTTCAACGTATGGGGCACCCGCATGGTGTTGCTCGACCGGCGAATTGGTCTTGAAGGAGTCGATGGCTTGTGAAAAACTTGTGAGAAGCCGGTGATATTGTGCTGCTTGGGGACTCAAATGACCCAGAAAGTCCAGAACACGTAGCGCGCTATGGAAAGACTTTCCACGGTTTTGGGGTACGCCAGGGGCGAGTAGTGAGAAGCCAAGGACAAGACCGGCGGCAAATAACCAAGCCCTGAACCAAACATTAGTAACACGCATATTTGGACAAGATCAAAAGGGCTTACTTCAGTATGCACATGTTGCCCATGATTGTGCGCGAGTCCAGAGCGTCAGCACACATCTCGGCCATGAACACAGCAGCATCCACACAGGCATCAGATAGTTCAGCAACACTCTTCTCATCTTCTCCCCCTCCTTCATCATCGTGGTCGTCCATGAGTGACGTGTCTTTGTTGATTCGCGGCATGATATGGTGGATTAAAAACTCGCGAGTTGTCAGGATAATGCCAAAGTAGTAGGTACATGCGACGTGGATATTTCCAATAGCTATCTCTCGGTTTTGAGAATGATGAGAGTGGGCGGTTCCTCTCTTTGGACGTTGGCGCAAACCTGTTGGCAGGTCCTTACTCCAATGTCTAATTTCATCGAGGAATTGTTGTGCTCTGATCATGCCCAACTCAGATTCTTCGGTTAGAGTGTCGACGATCCTGTTCAGAATTGTGGCAAATGTGCATGCCGCGTCTACTGACAGATTTCGATGTCGGTTCTCATGAAGCTTTACGCTTCGTCTCAGTCGGCAAGGTGCTACACTTGTTGGTCTTCCGAGGATTGAGCTACACACAACGTCAAAAAGTCGTATGCTCTTATCGACCCGAGACCTTGGTGGTACGTCAGCTTCTAATTTGATTCTTTGTATGGATGAAAGGAAAGTTAAGAGACATGAAGGGAATAATATCGTACCTCAGACTTCGCTCGCTCTCCGAAAGAGACTGAAACTGCTCTGCCATGTGCAAGCCCATGACCGACGCCGCCTTTGTGGCAACCCCAAGGTACATAAACGCAGAGTTGCGACGACAAGCGCCAAACATATAGAAGGCCATTAACACAAAGCCGCGAGCGGTGTTCAGTGTGGGATCGCTCAACATTCCTTCGAACGACAGCTTGCGTGCTTCTGAGAAGTAACGAAAGGCTTTGGGTGCATCTCCTATCTGACCACGACATTGGGCACCAATCGCAACCATCATGTAGAGGCACAGAAGCCTCCCTGAATTGAAAGTAGAGTTGGACCTTTGAGACTCCGTACACGGTTCCTGGGCCAGAATGATAAGTTCTTCGATATCTGATTCATCGAACAAATCAAGGAGTCCACTAGACTGCGGCTTCGTCAATTCCACACTCAGTTAAACAAGTCATGAGAGCTTCCACTCACGGCGTCAAGGTAGCGCTGAACCAGGGTTTTTCTCTCAACGTTTTCAATGTCATCTGAGAAGTCATCGGTCTGCTGCACAGGAACTTGTGCCTCGAACATGCGGTGACATCCCTGACTAATCGTGAACCCTGGACCAAGGATACGCAAGCTTCCTCGCAGGTATTGTAAGAACGCAATGGCTGAGGCATTTCCGACGAATACTTTGGATTTCGAACTGTTAGCTCAGTGTGGAACGCCTAAGGACGCCTTAATATCGTCGCTGAAGCGGCGCGCGATATGGAAATCGTACCTTTTTCTCCACTACAGGTGTACATCATCACCGGGCGCGGACCAGGCGGCGTAACCGTCTTGCCGGACGTTGACGAGGCTGCGGTCTCGTTCTCATCTTGCAAAGATGATTCTTGCCGTTGATAGAGTAAGGGGGACACCTGATCACGCTGCCGAGTTCCTGAAGCGGCCGAAGATTGATTCGGCGGTGCGCGACGAGCCCTGACATGTTGAGGATAGGTGCAGGACGAGCCTATCCCGCGTTTGACGCATGGTCGACATGGCTGGGCTGCGTCGCATCGCTTCTTGGTCGCTCGGCACGCCGTGCAGGCCCTGGTGGACCTTTTTCGGTCTTCGGGGCGTACCGGCGGCCGGGGCATGGCGTGGAGTTTGTGTAGTGCGGTGCCTTGTATACGGCGGCCGAAAGTTGCGGGTCTACCGAAGAGGCGGCACTGAATGCAGGTTGCGGGCCGACGATGCAAGGTGCAATTGCCGCCAATTCACATCAGATGGACATGGAGCGATTTCACCGGGTTGTAAATCAGCATGTTTCGATCATGCTACGAAAGGTCGCACTGCTTCTCAAACCCACGAGGCCCCGTCATTGAGTAAGCAGATAAGCAACGTAAACATCATTGGAGTTGAGATAGGCTTATCAAAGTAATTCCCCAGATTGTCAATTACAATCAGCGGCCAATTGGTAGGGCAAAGTGAGACCCCATGAATGTGAGCGGTGCTCGGCCCGCACACTTATCGTTGAGCAACACGTAAGTCCGTAGGTCCGTAAGTCCGAGATCTACTTCTGTACGGAAGTTCCGCCTCCACTAACCAATCGAATGCTCTATCTAGTCAGCAGTTAGAATAGAAACTCGGAATACTGTCATGATATGAGCACTAGCTTATAATGACTCGGCCGGAGCTCATCCCGTGCCGTGTGGTGCACTTAGTATGAGTTGCTATCTTAATGTAAAGTGTCTCATGTTATAAGTTCTCAAACTTTCCCAGTCCACCGAGAGTGCCCCAAACTTGAAATCACGCCGATAAAGAAGAGTATACCGCGACGCCACTATGTACGCAGACATCAGCAAACCCCCAGCTCCCCTTCCCCAGTCCGAATTGCAGACGATTGGAAGCGGTATCTCAACACTGTCACCTCTTTCTCGCCGAGGGGTTGGGCCAGGACTCATTCTTCTTGTCCCTTCAGTCGACAATGCGCTAGCAATTGAGGAAGGCGTCCCCGCACTGCCCCTGAAATGGGCTGAGGAGGGGTACACGGTCATTGCCATTCAGCCAACAGCGTTCGAGAGCGGTGCACGCGAGACTCTAGATCTTGCCATCCGAACATTCCGCAACAGTGATAAATGCGACCCAAAAAACGTGGTAGGTCTTGTTGGTAAGTTGCAGTCTCCGTTACGGATTTTGGACATCGCTAAGTGAGATGCACCAGCATACGAGCCAGAAATGTGGAATACAGTTGCGCCGATTCTATCTGAATTCCCAGAGATCGTGAGTACCGTGGTGTACGCAGATAGCTCAGAGAGGTCTTCGATCTCTAGTAGCATTTCACCCTCAGTCTATCACTTTGCTGGAAAATCCGAAGGGCAGCCCTTGCGGTCAAAGGGTCGAACAGAATACTTCTACCCAGCAGCCAAATCCTTCAAATTCGCGACACCGTTCCAGCCGCACTTCGACTACAACATGGATATGCTCTCATACACTCGCAACCTGACTTTGCTGAAAGGCGAAATGAAAAGCCCTATTTTCGACTTGGAGGCTATCTGGGACGAGCATACTTGGTACGAGTTCGCCGATAGATCTGTGGAGCACACAATGAGCACAATGGTGCAGGAACCATATGTCAATCACATCCCAACGGTAAGGGAAAAGCCGATCGTGCAAAACGAAACAAAAGAACACAGTTTCTAACGTTTACTTACTCAGTTGACCGGTGGCGTTGGTCGCGGCAAGCTTACTGACTTTTATCGTCACAATTTCATCTTCAATAATTCAGCGGACACGGAATTGGAGCTTATTAGTCGGACCATTGGCATCGATCGTGTAGTCGATGAATTCATTTTCAAGTTCACACACGACCAGGAGCTTGACTGGCTGTAAGTATAAGCACATTCGGTACTTGGGGTAAGGATGTGCACTGACAAAGTGACTAGCTTGCCAGGCGTTCCGCCAACCAACAAGTACGCGGAAATCCCGTTTGCTGCGGTTGTCAACATCCGAGGTGATCGCCTGTATCACGAGCATATAAGCTGGGATCAAGGTACAGCCTTGGCTCAATTGGGCCTCCTTCCGGAGTACCTCCCTTTCCCAGGGGGTAATCTCCAGTACAAGGTTCCCGTTGCAGGCGTAGAGACAGCCATGAAGTTGAGAGCACGAAATTCTGTTCCGTCAAACGAGATGTTCAAGTTCACAACTCGCCCCGCAAACAGCGAAGGAGTGAATTCAGAGAAAGTGGTTCCGGCTGTAGCCGAAAACGGTGTGGCAACAGTTGCAAATTAACGGAGGATGATGCTTGTTGTAGGATTGGTCCAATGAGGTATTACCATTATGTGTAGTTGAAGTTCTATGGGCTTAATACCATACCCGATGTACCGTAATCCTCATGTTGAATAGCTGCCTGCGACGCGAGACTAAGGTATACATGCTCATCTGTTGTTTGGGGTATCTAAATATGTGATAGGCTCACCCTTCTACCTTTTTGATCCATTGCCTTGTACCGTAGACAGAGAAACGCGGTGACCACATCTACGAAGGCTGGCAGTTCTTCATCCACAGCCCTTGAAAGCACGTATTTGATTCTCCTGCTTGTGCTTTAGGCTTGACGAAACCACAAGCCCGGCATTCCATTTTGCAATTCTTCCGCAACTTCAACAAGCAAGTATTCCTCCAAAGTCCCTTTCTCTCAACACGTGCCTGTTGAACTGCGGCAGAATGGCATGCAAGCTCTGGATTAGAAGCTCTAGCATCTTTGACGAGTTGGATGATTTTCTCGATAAGTTCGTCGTATTCGTCATGCGACATCTTTGTGGTGAATTCTCTCTGGCGCACAGCTGCAACCAGGTATTGTACAAAGCGAATAAATTCGGGCCCCTGTTTAACAGTTCCTTGCGGCATGAGATTACCGTCAATGAGTTTCCTCCAGGTGAGATCCCAAGATCTGTCAAAAACGGATTCGTCGTCTCTTTTGCGGCGCTCCTTTTCCCACTCGGCTTTGCTCCATACCCCGCATGGCTTATTGCTGGGCACTGGAAGACTAAGGTCTTTGATGATACTGTCGGCCAAGTCGCTATATTTCAAGCGGAATTTGATCATGGAAGCAATGTCCATGCCGTCAGTTGAGGCCTTTTCCGACTCAATTGTGTCAAGGAGGGAGTCCTGAATGTAAGCGCCATGTCCGCTATACCAGTCTCCAGGCCAGAGTTCAACAAAAAGTCTGGACATTTCCACGACTCTTTCGCGGCATGAAGAGCATGTTGTCAAGGTCTGTTCGTCCTCGCGGCCGTTGAATGTGCAAGTGAAGTGCAAGTGCACTTGGTCGCATTCAACTTCGACAAGTTCGTTCAGTCTCGCCACCGCCTCGTAGTATTCTGAGACTAGCATCGTATCGTCACTAGACAAATCGATGAGGGAAAAGGCTTGGAGCATCATCTTGTATCTTCTTGGTGTGGTTTTTGTGTAAGGAAGCTGATGTGTTCCGAATCTGATGGGCTTTCTCGAACCAAAGTTTGTACTACTTGGTGAGGTATGCAGACTTGGTACATATATGTGCCTTAGCTACTGAGCTTTCTCCGAAACTTGGCTCCCTTCTGGAGACCTTGACTTTGAGGCTACGTCAACTTCTGCGGCCTAGGCCGTTGAGACTTTTGTTTAAATAATCAAATTGAGTCTGTCCTGGATTTGTGGAACCATGAACACCTTGTGAACCTCTTTTTGATGCCATCCACTTTTGGATATGATGGTACCATGGATTGTGTGGTTTCTGCCGGAGTGACAATATTGCGTACTTATCTAATGCCATCTTTGGCGCAATGCCACTCCATCAGGGTTTCGTAGTTATCAGGGTCTAACGTCGCTGTCGTGAAGAGGACCTATCGGCTTCATGTTACCACAACGGCCGCGATAGCTTCTCCCCTACACTGGCGCGTGGTGATATCTGCCCTTCCCCCTCCCCCCACCGCATAATTGAATCCTGAATCTCTCCAATCTTCACGCTTTCAAGTCATTTCTTTCGAAAACTTCTTCAAACTCCCTTCGGGTTTCAATTGCAGATGTTTGGGACTTTTACTACCAATACGGCGATTTACCTCTCGTGTTTCTTATACCGGCGATCGAAGCGATCATATGCATCTGTAGCATGCCGACCTATTACAAAACTTCAGAGGAGCTACGCCCAGAGCTCGAGGCAATTCGGGACTCAATTGATGAAGCGCTGCGAGCATTCCAACCATCTTTCTCTCGCGCCAAAACCGCCGGAACCCTACGGACAGATGCAGCAAGAATCAAAACGAGCCTCAAAGAACTGCAAAGTCTTTGGAACGGTCGAGAAATGAACCAATATTGGATTGCAATATGGACCTTGGTCAAGAAGATCATCACCAAAAAGATAATTCTATCTGAGGAAAATGCCGAAAGAGCTTTGAATGAAATCACGGCAAGTACACCCCTCCGACCCCTTCCACACCTGAACTACCTGATCTCTACTCACCACAAGTTATGCTGAGGAATCCGTGGTTCTTCCAAAACATCCATGTCAAGGAGTACTTAGCTAACGCTGGTGTTCAAGCGTAAATATACACATCCTTACTCCAGACACAAATTAGCATATGGCCTCAGTTCGAAGATCATGAAGAAGATCTCAACCGCATTGGTAGATTCCTGGGAGAATCCCGAGGATTTAACACATGTTGAGTTTTTCTACATACTCACCTGGATTTCCAATACCATTGGCAAGGAAAAGTCAGCATGGTTTGCGATCGAGGATGTCGAATGGTCCAACATGGTCACTTGCAGCTACATGGACATCAGAGAATCTATTGCTCGACAACCTTTCAATCTTCCTACGGCCATTACTCCTATGGATCGGCTAGCCCTATACTATATCGTTCCCGAGTCAAAAGATATCCTCCAACAAATCATCCCAAAGCTAGTTGGTTTCATGGACCATGATATTTTCAAACAAGAAGATGTGGCTCGCGAGATCTACGATTTGGGTTTTCTTCCGGCGCCTATCTCCGCAAAGGACGTACCAGAAGCGGCCAGGCGCCGAGCCAAGATGACTGATCCGTATTTGAAGAAGGTTATAGGATCAGCGATGATTCGGGGTTTGCTTCGAAGATGGATTGAAGCTGACCCCGATCCGGTCAGTATTCTTAAGCTGACCCAGGTCCGGGTGGAAGATCTTGGCAGCACGCTAGAAGATGAAGTTCTCTCATTAAGGGACTAAGGAACATGTAAGAGAATATAACGCTGCGTGTGGCTGGAAGCTGGACGCTCAGCTGTGACGGGCTCGAATAACTATTATTGTGTAAAAGTTGGGAAAGTTCACAGGCGAACAGCAGAAGAACAGTCCACAAAACTACGGACACAATCTTCGCGAGGGCAAAGGGGTTATACGGCTCAAATAGAAGCAGCTGAAAGCCTAGTGAGGCTTCGCTGTTATCTGGAGCCTTTCACAACCGATGACCGTCAGGCTGGCCGCAAATAGCGCTGGGTCGAGTTGCTTCCCCAGTCAATAAGGCAACGATAGAAACGCATCAAGTACCCCTGATGAGTTAGTAATAGCGGTGATATGCTCATCATAAGTTTATTATACCATGCGGTTCATACGATCCATCTGGTCCATCTCGTAGCTCCCATTATGCCCTTCAACATCGCTCCTCGTATCATACTGCACAACGATCTCGTTTGTCCTGACGATCTTGCCAAACCCGGGTTCCGACTCGACCCCAAGGATGCTTTTATCGCTCCGATCATCGGCGAGCTTGTCCCATTTCCTCCTAATAGAACCCTTTCGTGTTGTCGAAGTTGTTACAGTTACTGTGTTGGTACGCGCGAGGCCTCCGCCAAATCGAGACCCATTGGTACGGGTGGCGGAGTTGCCGTAGTACTTGCGAGCAGTACTTGCAACGTCGCGGATGAGGACACGGAGAACAGGTATGGAGGCCGCCATGATCGTTACACCTGATTCCACGGTTCCCCAAATGACGAGGTCGCTACCGTCATCTTCAAGAGAAAGTCAGTCTAGTCTCTTGTATCGACGCCTCTCGGTACCTTGTTGCTTACATGTAAAGTCTCCAGAAAGCAGAGTAGGAATCGTCGTGCACTTGACAATCGAGGTCCCGCCAGCGCTAGTTGCCAAGTTAGATGAAGCAGTTTAACACACCCCAAAGGACGAGACCTACAATAGTCCCATACTCATGGCAATGCCGACACCAATCTTCTCTTTCATCTTCATTTGAAGTCCCCAAATTAACTTCCATGGGAGCATGGCGAGCAGTATGTCCATTAGAGCAGAATATCCTGTCAGGTGTTAGAAAAAGGATTTGTTTGAGCAACTGTTGTTAAGCCATACCTGCAGCAAATACCCCGTAGTAAGCTGCTACCTTCGGACTCCAGCACTTTCCTGGTGTTTGGGGAAGCCAGTACTTTTCGATCGGGGTACACTGCACCCAAGCAGACATAGCGTTGAGGCCCATAAGGACGTTCATCGATACAATCGCACCCCATATCAAGTTTCTTGTCCAACCTTTCTCCTCGATTCGGAGTAAAGTCATCGCGAAGGACGTTTTGCTCCACACCGCCGATGTAATCGATATCGTACTGATGACATTGCCGTTCAAGCCGATCTGAGGGAAGTTTACTGGATTGATTTGGTACACATGTTTGCCGAAGCCGAGGGACACGTTCCACGTTGTTAATGCTGATGCAATCATCAAGGTGACCTAACACAATATTGTCGTCAGTAAGAGGGTCCTGACATATGGCGCAGAGACTGAACGAACCCAAGATGCTATGAGAACATGGTCGTCCCACCAGAGTCCACTGCGTTTCTTAAATTTGCAGTATAACCGTAGGCACAGAAAGAATAGCGACGCTCCAACCTGAGACCAGATAACCGCGTTGATCGTCTGGCCATAGTCCTCCGGCCGCCCCATTTGACCGGCCAAAAGGGGTTACTTCCTTCGCCCAAGCGATGTTCGGATGTCGAAGAAGGCTCAAGACACAGACCAGCCGTTGCGCGTTTGATGACGTCGAGAAAAGGCAAAAAGAATATCAAAGAGCAGCCGCGCAACTCGCGGCGGGTATCACAAACTAAAGAGGCACAAGAAAGAAGCTGAGAAAGGAAAGGACATAAAACGCGCATCCACTCGGAGTGTGGGGGATGACAACTGAGATATGACATCGCAACACCTCCTCTCCACCCCCTCAGCCTAGTTCATTACCTACAGATAGCCAATGCACCCGGCACTACGGGGAAAGGGCTGGGCTCCCTGCGAGTATGCAGGTGCCGACGATCGACTTGTAAGGATGAGACGATGATCACGCAAAGGTGTTGGCGCGCTGTAGGGTTCTCTCTAGTTTCAGATGGTGAACCCGGGGCAGATTGATGGCCTTCTAGAAGAATGGAAGAAGATCTCGTCGTTGCGTCCAGTCTCGACAGCGCTGTTTGTGTCAGGAAAGCGGAGCCATCTAGCTGGGAGTGACAGATTCCGGACTACCACCATCGAACAATCGTAGCGTGGCATCATATCATTGTGCCCGTGTCCGCGTTGTGGGGGGATGAACGAGCCAAGCAAGAGCAATGACTCGAAGTCAAACTGATCTTGGCTGGGTTTTGTGCTCATGCTTTGCGGACAATTTGCCGCTTGACCGTATGCTGGGTAATTTCTGCGACTTGTCAGAGAGATTGCAAATACGATTCCTTCTGTCTCGTGGTTCTTGATTGTGCCCGTTGAGATCGAAGAACATTTTTCGGTGATGTGAGGTTGAGTTCGCCATGGGTCAAGGGGACCCAGATTGAACAGCTCGCGCTCGGTTTTGAGCAGCCTGCACCTCGCGTCTCTGTTAAACTAACATTGCAAGGATCGATGAGTCGATAACCCTGCCTTAGCGTCGAAGTCAAAAAACTAAATTGCTTAGGTCGCATTCCGGTTCAGCTGGGAAAACAAGCGAGAATTGGAGATGTATTAGACGAGATGGCACGGCCAACGCCTATCCGCAGCAACGCTGCACAGGAGGAATCTCATCAACGGCTTTGTTTGCCGGCACGGCAATTCGCGACAATTACAAACACGAGCGGAGAGAGAAAATCTGCCGTCCGTCTCGTCCCTCTGGTTTTCTGACAGAATTCTCTCTGCCCTCATCCTACCTTCTTCAACGGGCAGTTCAAGATCTGTGCAAGGATGTGGCCCGAGTCAGGTAGGTAAGAAAGCGGCAAATCATCCGCGGCCCCGAGTCCGGGTCAGCTGGCAGGGCGCATGGCGGATGTCGTCTCAGATTGTCAATGCAGACAGGGGAAAACTCTGCTCATTGGGAGGCTCAGCAAATCGCCAAGGCGATGCACAACTGGGCCAATCGTGAGGTAGGGCTGGGCGTTGAACATGGTTCCCGGCTGATGCGTTTCGCCTGATGTATTTCGTCACCGAATCTATTTCAGGGTAAACGGGTGGGTTCCAATTCTTCGGTATGGCCGTTCTTTTAAGTACAGGCAACTTGCTTGTGTGCTCGCATTTGATTTCGCATTTCGTTCCTGTGCCGTGAGTGACACTTACTGATTTAGCAGCGCTGGCCTGAGCCAAATTGCCATTAGACTCGGCGATTTCACTGCCATGGAGAATAGTATCGCATACTGCAATCGGAGTTCAACTACAGACACGTTCCAATAAGGCAATAAGTAACGTAGGTGAACATGAGCGTTAGATGTTGAAGGCTGTCTGCTAATGCATGTCACTGGCTTATCCCATGTGGGTACCGGTAACTTGTTGCGCATCTAGAGAAGTAATTGTGGAAAGACTTTAAAGCAGTATCTTGACAGTGGGGTATCAACTAGACTTATGCAAGGAGACAATGGCTGAAACAGCTCGCGGTTTCCATTGTTTCTTCACGCAGGTACGCTAGTTGGTAGCATCACTATCAACTTGGGTTCTGGTGTTGGGTTTGTGACTTCCCTTGGTCTGGATATGGGCAAGCATCCAGCGTTGAGCCATTCACTCTCTTATCGAGCATCGGTCGCTTTTGCAGCAAACATAATAGACTTAGCAGACTGAATATAGCATATTCACTCTCCATTCGTCTCCTTGTTCAATCGGGCATTTCTCATCCAACGAAACTCAAAGACAACAATAATACGAGATCATCTGTCACACCTTAAACCTTGACCATTGTTGTATTGAACACCCAAGACATACTCAAAACACTCTCTTCAGCTCGATTACAAACCAACACTACTGTCAAGCAATTCGGAGATGCGAACACTCTGGCGTTTTGGCGACATCGAAATCTCTGGAATCAAATTCTTGCGCGTCAACTTGGTAGGTTTTGAGCTACTCCCGCGCATTTTATTTGCATACAACATGTAAATTTAGAGACAATTTGAAAGCGCCAATACATAGGAATCAAACCCCCTTCGTCTCCTTGCACGCATTGACAGGCTTACGACATGAAGACCTTTGCAAAACGCTGTCGACATGGAGTTGATGGGCGTACTATTTAAAGATCTAGATGGAATCCGATTAGCTAAGAGCCCCGAGCCCCCTTGGTATTCCACTTTGAGATTCGAGTATATGAGATTAACGAGAAGATGATAGTGTCAAAACTCTATTGTAGCTCCAACATGGCACTTATGAATGGACAGTGTCGAGGGTTGGCAGAGATATTCGATTACCTTGGCAGCGTTTCCTTTCTAATTAATTGCCTCACTTCAGCCCTTACGATTGCCTGCAACCATTCCTGTTGACCTCATAGAAACTTTTTGTAGATTTATAGGCTCTCGATAGCAGTCATTAGTATGGAACCTGCATAGTTCTCGCAATAGATTTGGATGGAAGAAAGGGTTCCGTGAGCATTGTGTAAAAACGTCCTGCTTGCATGTAATAGCTACGGTGCTCGTTACTAGTTCTAGAACTAATACCCTTCACCGGACCTCACCTATCCCTAAATATATAATGGAAACGTGTTAGATATAGACATCGCAGTCATGACCTTCACAAGCCCGCAAGACTAATAGCACTGCAGATCACCTTGTCTATCAATAAACGTTCATTATAAAGCACTAGTATTCATGGTGACTTCAGATATGTCGCTAAACAGATTTTCAGTTCCAAGAGAAACAATATAAAGCCGGCATGAACCACAAGTCGAACGAAAACACGTCATTATCGCCGCTCACTGCCAGTCTGGTACATTGATGGCCTTTTACTCGGGGTGTATCGCAGTACTATTCTC